AATCGCAATATAATCAACGCGTTTGTGGGGGAGCGGTTTAATTTATAAATTCAAAATAACGCATTCAATTAACTGTTATTACTCACAATAGCAATAATAATTTTAATGTATTATCACCTGCTCGTAGCGGTGTGCGAATCATGCTTTTGCGTGGTCGAGTCGAATCTTCCCTGGGTTCATTACACGTCGTTTTGAAAACAAATTAAACTTGACCATTTTTCAATTACATGTTTACTGTAATAATAATTTTATTATTGCATTACAAAAATTATTACAAGAATGCAAAGCTTGTAGTCGACTAACCTGACAAAGCTTCGACCTAATTCCAGGTCCTTATCAAGTAACAACAGTTGTCGGAAAACACAAGGCGTGAGCTTGTACCAGCAAATTCATAAGTCAAAATGTTTCCGTCGTCAGAGTAAAAGTCGTGATATTAAAGTAAGTTACATACAGAGTAAAAGTCATGATATTAAAGTTAATCACATACAAGATATTGCAAGTGAAAGAACGAATCCATTGGTTCTCTATAAAGCACCTAAACCAAAATTCTACAATACTGACAATTTACATATACTTCGACCAATCTCTTCTATATCTGCTAATGTGGAAAAGGATTGAGAAAAACCGAATTTTAAACCTTAGTGACAACTCCACGAAAAATGGGTTCGTTCTGACTTTCAAGTATTTGCAAACGGTTTGCTGTCGTAGCAAAATATTGAGCTATCACAACTAAAATATTAGCTGTCCCTATTTTGTTAAGTTTTAGCTACAGCAGCTACATTGTTTTTTCCGTGTAGGCGATAAGTTAACACAGGAATCATTACAGCTTAAGGCGTCAAAGATTTTTATAGTTACACATACCGAATATTGACACGTAATTACTTAATTTCTTATTGTAGTTGAAACAAGTACACGCTGAAGAAGATAAAGTTATGTCGAAACGTTCGTTATTAGGAATTATATACATATCGTCAGATTCTTATTGCTGTATTGGATGTTAAGACTAATATGATATCACATTAACTATTTTAAAAACCTTTTAAAACCAACATTGCTCGTGAAACTAATTGGCCTACTTAATTTAAAATTTATTATTAAAGTAAGTTGTCCGTATGTAGAGATTCATGTAGAAAAAATCATTACATTTATTAACAGGAAAAAATGGCCGATTCGAAAACGAATCGAATCTAATCATCGATGAAACGATTCACACGCTTGCTTGTCATTCACGAATGCGTCGTGTCTTTTTTCACTCTTTTATAATATACGTTTCTCCGTCCGAGTGCCCTCACTCGAGTTTCGTTACATAAATTAATACAACAGACATATGGAAAGGCGACGCGTTTCCATGCGTGGCGTGAAAGAATCGGTTCCTTGTTAAGTCGCTGCCATTTCGCAGACGATTCCACGAGCGTGCACAATTTGCAACGGCCCCGACATAAAGGGCCGGAGATACGACGAATAATTCACCGCTATGCCGTGCAATTTGTCTTGCATTGTGTACGCCCTCCACGACACATCTTTCGCGCGTGACTTCATGCTCAATAGTCTTGCTTACACGAGCACTCGAGCGGCATAACGTTTGCTGTCCAATTAGCAGCGATAAGTCGCTCCACCTGCCGTGTCTCGCGTGCGTGCGCGAGACTTTATCATATTCGCGTATTTAAGCCTCGTATCGAGTCCATTCCTCTCCCGTCGACCCGACGCGTGGCCGGCCGAGGTGTCGTAAACGGCGCGGCCGTTAAGCGAGTGATGCGAGTCCGTCTTTGTGGAGCCCGTTTGCACGGCACAAATGGATAATGCAGGACCCACGCGGCGCGCGAGAAACGTTGCAGCTTCCTCCTTGCCTAATCCATTAAGCTCGATATCGTACGCGCGCGATACGCCGTTACCGCCCGTCGTAGCGACGCAACGAGGAATCGATAAGCAGAGGCATAAGGGAACGGAAAGAAAATCGCGCGTGTCTGTGTGTGTGTGCGCGCGTGCGGACGGGCGAAATCATTGCCTCGTAAAGGGAAAAAGCCCCGGTTATGGCGAGACATCGCGGGGCACGGGTGGGATTTGTGGGTAAAATATGATGTGATATCTCTCGTCAGAGAGGAAAACTTGCCCGCGGCGCGTTGTTGCCTCGCGCAGCCCTCTTCGAGAGAGAATCTCCCGGCGTGATAACGCGGAAGTCGCGCGAACGAGCGTCCGCTTCTATCTAGCGCGACCGCTCGCCCCGGCGTGGGGTGTTCGACCCAATTCCACGTTTCTCCCGCGTCGCCTCGTTTTTCCCCCATTTTTCCCGAACGACCGAGCACGCTCGCGCCCGATACATCTGGCTTCCTCGAGGACGGCTGCCACAAGTGGCGTCGAAAGAATGGGGTATCGATATACCCTCCCTTATGTAGGACATTCCTTCCGAAAACACCGGGGGAAGGCGAGGGAAAACGCTCGCGACTCCGCGAGTCCAAGGCGGTCGCGTGCGCGGGCGTAGACACGCAAAATCGGCCGCGGCCGCCGCAAAGAAGTTTTAAGTGTGACTCAGCTGTTCCCGTAGGTCGCGTGTTACGATCAAATGTCTTATTATAGTGTCTACGCCGCTGGGAGCACGCAATAATTACACGATTACGCCGCGCCGCGGTTGACGTGTTACTTCCATTATTTACCAGTCAATTCGCGCAAGAAAGTTCCTTCGCTGGTTATAAATAACGTCGCGTTTTTTTTAAATATATATATAAGAATGTTACACGCCAGCCTAGTCCGGCGCGCTATTATTTTCACGCGACGCGCGCTCCCAACGTCATTCATCGGGATCGTAAATCGCCGAGGGCGGGTTTATTCACGGGCGTATGTAAAATGAGCGAAAGCTCGGGGAAGTTTTTCGTCTTGCTAAAAATCGTCGCGTCCGCGCGACGGATTTGCTCGTGAATTTTTTTCCTCGAGCGAAAATGTATTTGCTAGCCGCGGTATATCGTATCCAGAATCATCGTCGTTCATTTCGTGCGTACGAAGAGAAACGCACTTTCCAACGTTCTTCAGACCGTGGAGAAACGTGCGCCCGCGACACGAGAGCTTCGATAAATATCGCGGGAACTAACGATGTTGGCGCAGTTGCTTGTGTCATCGGACATAATAAAAATCCGCCGGGGAAAAAAATTTCAATTTTCGTCCGTATTGTTGTCTCTTTGAATACGAGCCGTATGTTTGAGACTTGATATTCTTATCAACGAGGAAGTTATTATCGGTTTTCGCGGCCCTCGTATTTTACGTACCGCGCGATATAACGACTTTATCCGCGTGCCGCAGTGACGGGGCAATTAATTCGCGTGACAACGATTGCGGGGCCATTAATTTTCAATCGGTCGGCTCGACGTTAATCGCGGGTTTATTAATTAGCCGCGGGGATCCAAGGATAACGGCGGGCCGGAAGGGCGTTATCCTTGAGTGAGTTACGAGCCGATTTCCGAGTGTTTATGCTAATTCGCGACCCGACGTGTCATTTTGGAAGCGGCGTCGAGAGGACGTTCGGGTTACGAAAAATAATCACCGATAAATAAACGCGAGCCGCGAGCGATGCTCGAAGACGATCGTCGGCAAAACTCGCCCCGTGCGAGCGACGAATTGTAATCGCGAAAGTTTCAAAAATCAGATGATTTGTGAAACAGCGACGCGCCGCCCCGCGGTCCCGGAAACTCGTTTCGGCCAGACAAATTCTCCGTGGCTTTTCGCCAGACTTGCCGCTATTCCTTCATCTCGCCGACGCTAAGCTATCCCCGTTCCAATTTGCTCGGAAAATGTTTTTCCTCGCTCCGTGACTCGAAGCCGCGAACGGGGACGACTTGGAAATTGTAAGAACGTCTTCGCGCGCGTGAAGAAACGCTTGGACAAGACGAGACTTCTTCCAGTCTTTCTCAACGTATATATATATATATATATATCTCTCCCCGCTTAAATACTTGGAAGGTTCCCGTGAACTTAAGAAGGTAGAGCTCGGAGGATTCAAAGTTAAGAGCAAAGAATCTAATAGAAGAAAAATCAGGTCCCGCGTCTTCGATCCGGCCGGAGATACGAAATATTCTCTTCTTTTAAGTCGCGTTAAACTTCCCTACGCGCATTCGTATTATTTTACTGAAATATCAAGGAGAAAAGGCCGCCCTCAAACCGGCACTCGCTTCTCACCGAAGGTCGATTTACTTAACGAACTGGAGGGGCATTTTTCTCACGGGCGAGATTCCGTTTTGTTGGAAGCAGCGGGCGGGAAGCGGTATGGATTTGTAGCGGGTTCCATTCGATTCCAATTAAAGGCCGCTCGATACATCGTCGCAACGTTGCGAGCTTCTCCCGACGCAAGCGGAGCTGCCCGTTACGTTTCTCTATGCATTACAGACGACTCGATTCCTTCCACGTTTCCTCGGGAATGGAGACTACGCCGGCCCGAGCGACGACAAGAGGAATCGACGCTTATTCCGGTCGACGTGAGAGACGCGAGAGGAAGAAAATGAACGGCTAAATTACAGAAGCCGGCGAAACGATACGCGTTTATGCCCCTTTTTGTTAATGCCAGACTGCAACTGGTCTCGGCATAACAGCTGCGGAATTGATTAACGTCCCGTATTCCCGTATTCCCGTAACAGTACCTAATATTCCCGTAATAGCAAGACTTTCGATCATCGAATTTCACTTATCTTCATCTCCGTTCCCGCGTATGAAACCAGACTCCTGGAGTCTGACTATCCGGACGATTGCAGGAAATTGAAACTGGTGCCTATCCAGCGCGATCTCATCCCGTAGCTCAATGATCGAGCAACTATATATGCGCGCGTCATTATCGATTGCTCGTTACATTATTGATAACGTCGCGTATCGCGCCGTATATACTGAATGACGATTGATTTACACCTTGCGGGTTTGTACATTATTTCGTGCGCCGAGTCGCGCGTGTTTACTTAATATTAACTATTCTAATTCGGCCAACAAGTACAAATCTAATAACGCCAATTTTCATTCTGTTGCAGAGTTTCAGCGTGCTCGCCATGCATGGATTTTGAACTTCCATTTCCAACACGAGAGTCCGTGTAGCCAGGCGCGACGCAGAACGGTAAGTCCGGCACATTTTCTAACATTCTCGCTCGCCAATCGCCCGCCGGTTGGATCGGCAAATTGCGTTATTAAACGACGATTGCCCGAGAGGCGGTAAATGGAGCTGCTCGTTTAATTAGGATTAGAACAACGTGCCGAAGGAGCTTATTAACGATAATAAATATTCGATAATAAACGTGGCCGGCAAACGTGCTTGCAATTACCCTGTTGCGCTCGGATTCCGAATCCAATCGGGGAAAACAGAGACGAACGATGGAGCAGGTCTCCGCGCGCGCACACATACACACACGCCCATGGCTACGTGTATCACTACTCTCGAAGAATAATTCAGAGAGCCTTCAACATGGAACACGAGTTACGGTGCGACGGTGCAATCGATTCGAATCACCGAACGGCGTGGAAACTCCTCGTCATGATTCTTCCATCTCGGCACGACGCTTTCGTGATAATTAATCAAGTATCGGGTAGATTTCACACGAGATACGGGAGACGTGCAAACGCGCGCGCCAACGTTTTTACATTAAATATAAGGATTTGTCACGGAGAGTGAAACCTCTCGGTTCTCTCTCGTTATTTATTTAGGATGATTTTAATCGGCCCGGTAACGAGTTCCTGTAAATGGTGGAAATTGTACTGTAATGATTTTTACACCTGCGGCTAAATCTTAATTAAATCTTCACGATTGTTCGCGTGTAAATGACGTCGGGTCTGGTTTAGTTCTCGCGCGCGCGCCTAAACAATAAGCGATTGCATTCCCGCGGAGAAACGCGCGAGTTGGTAAATCACGAGTTGGTAAATTCACGACAGCGTGAAGTATGGGAGAATTTAAGCAAGAGCCATAAGAGAAATAAATTCGCTCGGGGATAGTTCCCGGAGAATTCCGGGCGCTCGCCTGCTGGATACATCGGTATTTTCGCGGATAAAAGGGACTCTGTGATACGATATCGAACACTTCAGTCGATCTCCTTAGTAGAAACAGAGAACGTGAAGTACAATAAGGGGGGAAAACGTGTATGCGTGATCGAGTTTCAGATTACTGTACTTGTACTCGCACTCGTTATCTAAAAGGACTTGGATTTTTACCGGGTTTTTTTTTCGTTATCTAAAAGACTAAGGGCCGGTTTTATCCAATCTCTCGGTAAATTAACTAATAGTTGAACCACGTTCTTTAAATTGAAAAAAGATAATCACATGCTTTAACTATAGTTAAATATCTAATATATTAGTTATCTTACCAAGAGGTTGGAAAACCCGGCCCTCAGAGCCGGTTGTTAGTGAAATTATACGTCTATCTTTGTCTAATTTGAAGGAAAAGCAGACATACATATGATCAAACTATTAATTAACTTGCCAAGAGGTTGGAACAAACGGCCCTAGGATGTTTAACACGTTGCTATACAGGGTGTTACGTAATACCGGCCTCACCTCTTATTTTCGGATAGAGCGGATTAGATTGAGTCGAAAAGTCCTCTACCAGTTTGCAACGTTCGCAATAGTTAACGAGTTATTAATTATTAAAATCGCTGTCTTAGCCCGGCCTACCGCCCAATTCAAGCTCGCGGTGAGACGCGGCCGTCCAGCGATCGGCGTTGCTAGGCGCGCGGGGAGTTGTCTATTACACGTAGCCGTTGCCGTGTGTCATAAACAACTCCTCGCGCGCCTAGCAACACCGATCGCGGGACGGTCGCATCTCGCCGCGCGCTTGAATTGGGCGGAAGGCCGAGCTAAGACAGCGATTTTAATAATTAATAACTCGTTAACTATTGCGAACATTGCAAACTGGTAGAGGACTTTTCGACCCAGTCTAGTCCGCTCTATTCATAAATAAGGGGTGAGGCGGGTATTACATGACACCCTGTATACTGGTGACATGGTATTTTCATAGGAAGCTTCGTCAACGAAATATTGGTGCCGTCATTAATATAAAAAAAAAACAGCGATGTTTTAAAAATCGTCCATCGATAGATTACCGTACCGTATCGCCGATAATTTAGATTAAAAATATGAAAAAATAATCGTGGCTCATGGGGTCCACTTTTCGACTCTTGACGGTCAACGTGTTTTCAATTAGATCAGTGATGTAAATAAAGTAGACGTGCAGCGGTCGAATCGTGCGATTTCGTCGTGAAATTATTATCAGCGTGAAAGTCGCGAACAGCTTTGCGTCCGCTGCAAGGGAATCTCGCGTTTTCGCGCTTATTCAATCTGTCACAGCAAGCGGGCAATTGAATAATTACTAAATACGAGACATTTCTTCAGATGTTTAAGAAAGAGAGAGTCGCTCATGAATATTTCAGTAGCGCGGGCTCGAAGTCTCTCCGAAGCGCAAAAGTAAGAGGGCTGAAAGAACGCGGAGCATACTTTTTTCAAATAAGAAAAAGCATTAATATATTTTTCTTAAGAGACAAATGGTACGTGGAAACATCTCGCGCTTTTTTTTCTCTCTCTCTCTCTCCCTCCCTCTTTCTCTTTGCGGCACATTTCCGTGGAAATTTTCGAAGAAATCTCTTGGCCGTTTCTGCGTACGGAAAATAAACGAAGACAAACTTTTAGCTCCGTAAAACATTATTAACTGCGTGTGCGTAGGCGCGGACTAAATTTACCGTCGCGCCGTTGATCCTGAGCGACTGCGTGCGACGAGAGATTCGTGGACGCGTAAAACGCAGCGTGGGCGTGGGAAGTACGTGCCGTTACGTTCGCGATAAAAAGAAAAATTACGATACGCGTAATCGTCGGTTAGAATCGGCGCTAAAATTACCGGTGGCACGCACCGACGTGCGACACGCGTGTTTCAGAAATATCGCTCGGGGTCCCCCTCGGCGCGTCCCAATTGGCCCCCCGATATAAAATTGAACGAGTTGTCAGCGCGATTCGTAAGTGGTTAGAACCTATCGGGTTGACCCTGCACGCTCGTCGATTATTCTCCTTTTTCTCGACTGATATCACCCACGTGATTTTTCTAACTTGATAGCCTGCCCTCCCCCCCTCTCCGTCCCCGCGGCGACTATCGTCAACCGACCCACGCGCTTCCTCAATTGAGTGAATCATCGCGTTTCGCGGCAAAACAGGCACGTAGCGGGAACAAATAACGAATACGTGTGCATCCACGGTCCAGTTTAACCTTCTGAACGTTGAGTTCGGTCCTAATGATTCGATTAACCAGACATTCTCTCGGTAAGAGGTAAGTGAATGGATTATTTCCATTATGCGTCCTGTCTGCGAGCCATTCTCGCGGGGAGTAGATTTCCGCGGAACAACATTAACGAGCAAGTTGCAAAATGGCCGGGAGAAGTTGAGCCGGTGGCTGAATGGATTAAAGCGCGACTACGTAGAGTATGGGGTATCCGGCTTCGGGGCTCCGCCTTTCCAGCCCTCCCCCTCCTCCCCCAGACCGCGCGAAACTTTTCGCAATTGTTAAAGTATTAACTCACTTTTAAAGCGGCTTTACTTTCGCGCATTTTTCGCCGGCACGGAGCTACGCGGGGCGGCACGAGAAAGCACTCCCCGATAATTAACTTGATTCGCGCTCCCACGTAGCCCTCTGTACGCGAATAACATTAAACGCGAATAATATTAAGCCCCCAGCGAAATAATCGCGTTCCCGCTCCCGTGCTTTTTCGCCAAATTCGCCCCGCGTTTTCGTCCTCTTGCCGAGGATACTTGCTTAACCTTAGAACTGCACGCTTGAAAAATATCAAACTAATCGCACCTGCTCTGGGAGAAACAAGACAGTTAAGCAACCTATCTTGGGCCCACAATTAATAATCGAATTATTTGGGTTGTTCGCAACTCTAATCTATTACGAGTTTTACCCCGCGTGACTAGAAATCGCAATTAGCTATTCTATATCCAAGATTTTCAAGTAATACTAATTGATTCTCTCAATTAATTCTGTCGATATTCAGTAACGCAAAGGTAATTTTCACTTAAGAGGCACTAACCAAAATGTTAAGTTGATTAACTACAAAAAAAAACGGTAAGAAAGTTCCCCAGAGTAGAGTAACGAACAATTCAAATAATTCGAATCGAATTATTTAGATCGAATCGAATTATTTAGATTGTTCGTAACTCTACTTTGGGAAAAATTTTGACTATTTTTTTGTAGTTAAGCAACTTAACATTTCGGTTAGTGCCTCTTAAGTGAAAATTACCTTTGCGTTGCTGAATATCGACAGAACTAATTGAGAGAATGGATTAGTATTACTTTAAAATCTTGGATATAGAATAGCTAATTGTGATTTTTAGTTATTTGGGGTAAAATTCGTAAAGGTTTAGAATTACGAACGATCCAAATAATTCAATTAGTAATTGTAGGCCCCAAAATGGGTTGCTTAATTGTCTCTTTTTTCCCCAGAGTGGGATCATTTCGACCCCATTCAACTTTGATCACTTGTAACTTTTAGAAAAATTCACCGATCGAGTCCTTTTTCGTTCAAATTCACCGTCAGACTGTCACTCTCTGAAAGTCAATCAGTACATTATCGCTGAAAAACAGTTGTAAGTATAAAACTATTTAGTGCTACACTTATAACTGCGAATCAGTGAATATTCAGTGTTTCAGTGATAATCCACTGATTGACTTTTACTAAGGCGTTTAGATACTCCGTAGCCAGTGAAATGTTCCATACGGTATCTTTAGATAAATTCAAGACAGTCTTGAATATAAGATCTGACTATGAATACCGGTCTTAGAGAGCAATAATGCAAAACTGCAAGTAAAGATTGGGATTAAAATAGAAATTACAAAGATATAAACGTAAATAACAAATCGGAAAAAATTACTTTTTAAAGTCGGGCCGGGGTTTGAGGGGTGCGGCTCTGGGATTAAACTCGCGTCCCGGCGTCATCAAATACGCTCGACCTTCCCGTTCTCAAATTATTCCAACTATGTCTCCAAGTATCCCGAGTGTACCTGTAAAAGAAGTGTAAAACATTGTTAGCTACTTGCGTGCTCGGCCGCTATTACTGTCTCCTGGAGCGCGGGGAACTTCTAAAATA